GAGGACATGTGGTGAGAAGCACCTGTTCATCAAGCCACAGTTGTTTTGAAAGGGACTCGGAGCAGCTCCTAAAACACACATCGTACATTAAGATCATTCATTCATTCCCTGGGCCAGTGCTTACTGAGCACCTACTATGTGCCAGGCCCCGTGCTGCTGCTGAGATGCACTGAGGAGTGAGACTCAATCCATTTCCTCAGGATGAGGAGTGTGGTGTGTGTGACAAACTCTGACCCAGATCCAGGTCTCGTGTGAGAGTCCCCTAATTCCTCAGTGAGTTTTGGAATTTGGGCAACCATCCTTATTTTACAGGAGACTAACTGAGGCCCAGATGCAGGAGTGACTGGTCTGATGGTTTGGGCCTAGGTTTTTTGAGTCCCTGTATCCAAGCTTTGTCTACAGCATCACCTGGTCTCAGGGTCTCATAAGATGATCACGGTGACAGCTTAACCCTTATCCCTGATTCCCAGGCCACAGAGCAAAACTTCCCAGGCTGACATTAACTACTCTGCTTGGAGGTTGATTTTTAGGGAGATAGTAAAAACCTGTTATTTAAATATTGATTATTAAAATCATTATGTAAATTATGTTTGCTATATAATAGTTAATAATCTGTGACCTAAATGTGAAAGCAATACAGGCAGTTCTGTTTCTCTCTTTCCACTGTACCTAGGGTTTATCCTAGCGAGTGGCCCACTCTATACCAGTACTGATATTTGGTTAATAATGTTTTTATTAAATCCAAACTGAAGTCACTTTAGGAACCTTCTCTTAGAGGAATGTACTGATTTGCCAAGACCATGGCCCCAGACATCTGAGCAGAGATGCTTTCCTTGGAGTTAAGAGTTTTCTGCTCTGTAAATTACTTTCCCCTCATGTCCAGCTGGAACACATTCAATCATTTATCCGTTTATGTATTTGTACAACTATTTATTTGCTGTTTCTTATCTTTTCATTTCTTATCTTTTTATATCCATTCATTCATTATTAGCCTCTTCAAATTCTTGTTTTGTTTATTGTTTCATTTATTTCTTCACATGCTCATTCACGTGTTACTATATTTCTTGTTTGACTCCTTGGTTCATTCATTCATACTTCCATTGTTTGTCCTTTCTTTCATTCATTCTTCCTTCCTTTGTCCATTGTGCACTCAGCTCCTCAGTCATCAACCATTCCTTCTGTCATCCTTATTTCACTGGTTCATTCATTTGCTCCCTCCCGAGCCTGCTCATTCATTCATCACCTCATTCATGTATTTACTCATGATTCCTCAGTTTATTGGTTTACTCAATGATTAATGCATTTCCAATTAGTAATTAACTCATGCATCAGTTGACAAAAATAATGTCTTTGTTAATGTGCTCTGTGCATTGAGTGTCCAGTGTGATTCCTGCCACTCTTACCACTCCCACCCCAGCATATTCTGTGGATTTCAGCTAAAAAGGGCCTTCCTTCTGGGGCCTTCCTTGTTGTTGTTGTTGTTGTTGTTGTTGAGATGGAGTTTTGTTGTTGCCCAGGTGCTGGAGTGCAGTGGCATGATCTCGGCTCATTGCAACCTCTGCCTCCTGGGTTCAAGCGATTCTCCTGCTTAGGCCTCCTGAGTAGCTAGGATTACAGGCGTGTGCCACCATGCTGGGCTAATTTTTATATTTTTAGTAGAGACGGGTTTTCGCCATGTTGGCCAGGCTGGTTTTGAACTCCTGACCTCAGGTGATCTGCTTGCCTCGGCCTCCCTAAGTGCTGAGATTACAGGTGCGAGCCACCATGCCTGGCCCCTACCTTCTTTTTATAACACACTTGTTATTAAGGTGTAATGTGAAACATACACAGAGAAAGGGAGAGATGTTCCTCAACTTTATGCCTCTATAAACCCATCATTAGTTGAAAATATCGTAAGTTGAAAATGTATTTAATACACCTAACCTACTGAACATCACAGCTTAGCCTAGCTGACCTTAAAAGTGCTCAGAACACTTACATTAGCCTGCAGTTGGGCAGAATCATCTGGCAACTCAGTCTACTGGAGGGTATCCGTTGTTTACCCTGATGATTGCATGGTTGACTGTGCTGCAGCTCACTGCCACTGCCTGGCATCTAGAGAGTACTGTAACTGGATGCAGGTTCAGTCACTGCTTGCAGAGTCTAATTAACAAGAGCAAGGTATGGCAGAAAGAAAGTGAATTTCTTAACCAAAACTAGTAATGGGGAAGTGGCTGGATTCCCATCCAAGGTAACCATTTTGATTTCTTGGGGGAAAGCAAGGGCATAAAAAGGGAAAAGTTGATATGGAAGGCACGTAAGAATTGTGCTGAGTATAATGTCTGTGTGTCTTATTGCGGTGGCTATTAAGGGTTCCAGTCTACTTGGAGCACAGGCTGGCATCTTCTCAACAACGGCTGGGTTGTTGACTGGCTGCCTTGAAGTAATCTCCAGAATTTTGTAGCTGGGTCTCTGGTCTTGGTCTATCTGTCTCAAGATTAGAACTTCGAAGAAGGCATGTAATTAGGTACTAGTATATAGTGAGATAACTAAGAAGGGAGTATATATGCTGAGGAAGGAAGGGACTTGGAGTCTCTTTTAAGGCTAAGGAAAGAGGCCTCTGCAGTTTGCTTTAAGATTGTATCTTGAAACTCAAGGGAAAGGGAAAAAAAGCTTTAAAATACAGTTTGAAGTTAAGCTGCCCAGTTATAGTATCATACTGCTTTCTACTGAATGCATCTTGCTTCTGCTGCATTGTAAAGTCGAAAAGTCATAAGTCAAACCATTGTAAGTGAGGGACTATCTGTACACACATCAGAAGTACCCAGCTCAAAGGACTCCTATTACTGAACTAATTACTGCTCCCATGGGCGGAACACAGGCCAGGTGCCACCCCAGCATCCCTCCTGTGCCCTTCTGTATTTCTCAGGTACTGTCTTCATTTTGGTGACAAATACAGTTACTGTCTTCACTTTGGTGTCCCCTGGTGACAGAACTTGAAGGGTTTGAGCCCTGCAATTCAGTTGGGAGGTAGAGGGAACATCTGAGGGGCATGGGGAGGTGAGACAGGGAAAGGAAGCCATCTAATAAAGGCTGTGTTATGAATGTGGTCCCCACTGTGGGTGACTGGAGGTTAATCAGATAGGAAAACCCAGGAGCTAGTGCCAGGCACGAGCACCACAGTCACCCCACCGGAACCGCTGTTCTGGGGTTCTGGGGTATGAACATAGCAACTGCCCTTAGCCATGGGTTCAGTACTCTTCCGAGGGGAGGGGCATTAACTCCCAGGCAGTTAAGGCCTGTCACCAGGACATCAGAGTGGAATTTGGTGACCAGAGAAAGCCTCCAGCCAAAGAACGCAGAAGCTGGTCCTGGCCTGAAGTAGTAAAGACAAGACTTGACACAGCGACGAGCTCATCTGATGGTGGCTCCCTCCTCTCCAACCGCTGCTCCTTTATCATCCTTCATCCAGGCTGCACTTTGACTTACTGTAATATTCAAATCAGAAGGAGCCTTCAACAGCAATGGGCTCAATGGCCTTATTTTACACACTGGGGAAACTGAGGCCTGAAGTAGGGCGATCACCCAGCCAGCTGTGCAAGAGCCCAGGCCAGGCCCCTGCTTGGGTGTCTCCTCCTCTTTCCTTACTGGGGTAATGTCTGACCTTGCCTGTGAATTCTCTGACAGATGCATTGACGGAGAACGGAGCCGGCAAGCACGGAGCTGCTGCCTTTGAAAAGCTGGAAGATAATTTGCCCTGGTGCTGTCTTCTCTTTTCAGAACTCCCCTTCACTCCTACCCCACAACACACACACACTTAAAAGCCACATTTGCTGAGCCAAAGTGGCTGTCAGTTTCACTCCAAAAGAAATGTGTGTGATCTCTCGCCCATGTGAACATAGCATGCTATCGATGTAATTACACCCAGTTAAAGTCCCATCGAGAGAATCTATTACAGGAGAAAAGGGTTTGATGTGGGAGAATTTGAGTCTCCACATATGTACTTTGACTCCTCCTACGCTTACTTCTTTTAAAATGAGAAAGAGGACATTACCTTTAAAGGTCATTCTCCCTTCAAAATATTCTGGAGAAGAGTCATGTAAGCACATGTTGAATGTGTGAAAGGTTAGTGTTTTATCACGATCTAATCCTGTCCTCTGTCTTTCTCCACTGCTGCAAAGATAGCGCCTCCTGCGCAAGGGACTTGCCTCTGCACAAGGGACTTACCTCTTGCTCAAAGGACTGCCCCCTGCAATGCATCATCAGCACATTTTCTTTGCAACTTGAGTTTGTCCTTTTCCTCTCCTTGGAGAGATTAGATGCAGCTACTGGGCCAAGAGACACGAGCCCAGACAGCTGAGAGATTCCATTTCAGAAGCCTCAGCACCAACCATGTACTATGAATAAGTAGCCATCTCCTGAGGGCCGACTGTCTTGTCTGCCAGGCGCTGTCCTGGAGATTTTGAAAAAAATTCACTATTTCTAACCCATAGCTCCACCCTGCAGAGGGGAGGTTTCCTGCTGCTCCCACCATCATTTCCCGTCTAGATTATTGGCAAAGTTGCCCAACTGGTCTCCCTGACTCCACAGCTGGGTCTGCCTGTAAATCATACCCACTCCTGCCTGTGGACACAGGGAAACTGGATTGTTCTTGTTCTCAGAGTGGATTGTGGTCACTGAGCCAGCATGATGGGCACAGAGAGGGTGCAGAGCTCCTCCCTATTCTCTAATTTGGAGGGTTGGGGGAACAGGCACAGAATTGTCATGGTCCAGCAGCCTATTGCTGGGAGGAAAGGTTGACATCACTCATGGCTGGCAGTGGTTCTAAGGGTCCCAAAGGGAGAGTGATGTGGGAGGATCCACTGATGATAGTCGTCAAAGAAAATTTCATCTTTGGGTCATGCTTGGCTCTTGGGCCAAGAGTCACTGAACACTGGCTCACCCACCAGATGTGTCTGGAACACTGGGCATCTCCTCCCTCTTAACATCATGTGATTCCCTGAATAACAGTGAGAGTCATCATTTGTTGAGTATCTTTTTCACTTGTTCAACAAATACCTATGAGTGGGCACTGGGGCTATAGCAGGGAACCCTACAGAGCTGTTAAATGACAGAGATGGACCAGCAAGACTCCCAGCTATGTCAACATGTCCTTGAGGCCTCCATTGCCCTGCAGGAGCTTCGCATTCACACTCTGGCCTCTCCTGCAATAAGTTTCAGGCTCTCTTTTCTCCCCCCAGTCATCCACTGGCACTTGGTCTTTTCATATCCTTGGAGCTGGGGCTGAGGGTGGCAGGGGAAGCAGGTGGAGGAGGCGTCGTAGAGCCAAATGAGGATCCTGTTTCTTCCCCTAAGAAATGAGCAGTTTTACACAAATTAATTTAAGCACAGTCCATAACTAAAGAAGAAAAAGAAGCCAGTTGGATTCATTTTCTCAGTCAGTTTCTCAAGCCTGGTATTAATCTATTAATCAGCTGAGCTCATCAGGAGCAAACATGCTTCTTCAGGAGTTTTCTAACAGGAAATAAATGCCTCATTAAGTTAAACATATTAACCTGAGAACAGGACTGATGTCAGACAGACTAATGAATGTCATTGTAGGGAATGCGCGGCAGTCCTCAGAGGGGCCCCACCCAGCATCCGGGGCTCCCACAGATTGGCTCAGCTACCGCAGGATATGGGATCATCAGAGGAGGGAGGGAGATGGAAAAGGGGCTGTTGCTGGAGCTGTGGTCATGGTCAACGCTGTGAGCTGTGCCCTGATTAATTCTGGCATCTTCGAATGCCTGTGAAGGGCGTGTGGCCAAAAGGAGGAGCCCTGTGTGCCTCACTGTTGGGTCCAAGGGGTTTGGGAGGAAGTTGAGTGCAGCCTCTGAAATAGGAGGGAGGGCAGGAAGGCTGAGTTGGGCATCACAATCCCGGGTTCTGGTTCCAGGCCTTCTCCACCTAGTGCAGGAGGCTCAGTTCCAGCTCCTCTCCAGCAGGCCAAGCTCTGCGCTGGGCACTTCCACAAGCATCAAGCTCAGTTACCCTCGCAGAGACCCAGGCAGACAGGGGTTTAAGGCCCGGGGTTGTAGATGAGGAAACTGAGGCTCAGAGGAGTTAAGTGACTTGCCCAAGGCCACCCAGCTTGTGGGTGTGAGAAAGACAGGCCCAGGCTGGCCTACCCCGGTCCAGGTTTCCCCAACAGCCCCCACCGCCTGCTTCCTGGTGCTCTGTCTTCCACTCCCTCCCAAACCCTCCTCCAGGTCTCTAAAGTGTCTTCCTGGGGGCTCGAGAGCCAGGGTGTAGACCCTGCAAGGCTGAGGAGCCAGGGGGACCCTGACTTACATACGGCTCAGGGAGTCCCAGCCATCGTAGAGTAGAATCACTGCCCTACGTCTCCGTTTTCTCATCAACGAAATGGGGCCGAGTCTCTCCACCCCACAGGCTTGCTGTGAGGATCAAAGGAGCCGACGAAGGCATAGTTCTCCACACACAGCAGGCTCCCAGGACATGCCGGTCCCTCCCACTCTGCACTGCCTTCCTGATCCATCTCCCGAGTTTGGTCCTTGGTGAAGAGCCAGGCTGGTGGAACGTGGAGGAACACAGCGGCCCTTCCCAAGGTCCAGCCTCAAGTCCCACAGTCCATACACATTCCCTGAGACTCTGCAACTACCTGGTTTCTATGCAGAGATGATTATGACATGGTCTTCCACATCAGCAAGTTCATAGCCAAGTCAAGGAGAGGACCCCAGGGCACTGGAGAGAGTCCAGTCCCCAAAGCGGGGACACAGAAGAGTGAGAAGGGTCTGGAGACAGAGGCAGAGCCACTAGGATTGGCACAGAGTGAGCGTGGAAGAGGTGCCTTCTAGGTGTGATGGGCCAGCCAGTCTCCCCCGGGACAGAAGTAAAGAGAGTCCTGCCAGGCACTGTCCTGGAGACTTTTGAAAAAAATTCACTTTTTCTAACCCACAGCTCCACCCTGCAGAGGGGAGGTTTCCTGACACTTCCACCATCATTTCCTGCCTAGATTATTGGCAAAGTTGCCCAAATGGTCTCCCTGATTCCACAGCTGGGTCTGCCACTCCTGCCTATAGACACAAGGAAGCTGGGCTGTTCTTGCTCTGAGTGGATTGTGGTCACTGAGCCAGCAGGATGGGCGCAGAGAGGGTGCAGAGTCCCCTCCCTATTCTCTAACCATGGTCCAGCAGCCTATTGCTGGGAGGAAGGGTGGCATGTAATACAAAGGGCCAGGCCAGCTAGAGGCCTGGTCCAAGGTTGAGAGGTAAGAGGGGGAAAAAAGTAGAAATTCATATTTACAGCCATTCGAAATCCCAGCCTACCCTCTGTATCTTCCTCAGCACTGATCTAAGGGAATGCACATATGCCAGGCAGGCAGATGGGCGATCGTGTGGATGAGCTCATTCCATTTAAAAAGACAACGGGGTGGTTATTATTAGGCCTATGTGTCAGGTAAGGAAACTGAGATTCAGAGCTGCTGAGTAATCAGCCAAGGTCACCAAGTTCATAAGAGCTGGGATTCACTCCCTGGTCTGTTGGACCCCAAGGGCCACGATTTCCCCACTGGCCATGGTACCTCTCATGTCAGCAGGCCCTGCTGGACAGTATTTGTTTTCCCTGAAAAGCATAAGCATCTGGAAAATGTCTACTGTTGGCCCTTTTCCCTCCCTGATGTGGGGTGGCATGAAAACCCATGACCTATTCCCGGCCTTGAGTACGGAGCGGCAGGCCCCGCCACCATGTGTTAGCACCAGCCAGAGGGGCCCAGCACAGCCCTGCGGGGACTCCTGCTATTTGGAGCTGGTGCTCCCACCTCACAGGGTGAGCCCAGATGCTCATTTCTGGGCATAGCTTCCCTTCACTGTGAGCACCTGCTCCTTCATAAAGTGGGCGCTGAGCATTTTGGCTGATACGGAGGCTGCAACTTCATTGCAGGTTGGAGTGCTTCATGTATTGAATGGTGCAATGTTGTGTTTAATTTCACTACAATTATTTCTGCAATTATGTGTTGAGCACCATTCTCCCCCGTAAGTTCTTCCTTGGAGAACTGCATCCAGCTTTGTGAGACACTGTAAAAAGAGACAAAAAACTCAAGCTTGGTTAGAGAAGCCAGCTTCATGAAGGATGTGTGATGAATAATGCTAAAAACAATGGGGCTGTCGAAACTGGAGAAGGCAAAACCCCATAGAGATGAGCTGGGAGAGTTGTCTTCAAATATAGTAGCCCCCTTTTCTGTGGAGGATAGGTTTTAAGATCCCCAGTGGATGCCTGAAGCCCCAGATAATACTGAACCCTATACACACTTGTTTTTCATCCGTAAGTCAAGAACTTTCACCTTTTCACTTAAAGGAAGCACTTTACAGCATCTTTTTGTCATATCTGAATGGCCAGCGTCACTACTCTTATGCCTGGTGGCCATTATTAAGTGAAATAAGAGTGACTTGAACACAAGCATTGCAGTATCGATACAGTGACAGTTGATCTGATAACCTAGCCAACCACCAAGTGACCATGGGATGAGTAGCCTATACAGCGTGGATATGCCTAAGGGAGGGTTCACCTCCCGGGCAGGACAGAGCTGCACAGCACAGGATGACATCATGCTACTGACAGTGGTATGCAATTTAAAACGTATACATTGTTTATTGCTGGAATTTTCCATTTAATATTTTGGGACTGCGGATAACTGCAAGTAACTGAATCTGTGCTGTAAGGCATTGAACCCTTGCCCCTCTCCAGCACTCAGAAACTTTGGAAATTACCCCAATTTTTCAGATGTTCTAGAATTAAAGGAATATCCTTCCTTGCCCTTGGTCTTCCTCCCCACCCCCAAGCCGTCTCCAGATCTCTGTAAATGGTCTCTGCTGGTTTGGAATCGTGGTCTTCAGGCATTTCTGGTTCTCTCGCTCTTCACTGCCCTGTACATGTGAAGATGCCCAGAGCCCAAACCACGGGGGCTGCGGGAGCCAGAGGCTGTTTCCCGACTATTTATGAGGTTTGAGGAACAGAGGTCCCTTTCTGGTGGGGGTGGACTGGAAGGGGCTTCTTAGTCCCCTGCATGAGTCTGAGTTGCCTGCTGATGAGGCTCCTTTGATCATTCTCTCTGGGCTTGGAAATGACGCTTAACTTCAGCCACTGGGAAAAAATAAAATAGCAAGATGCATAAAGCTCCTGTGGCCAGTTTTCACAATATTTAGTCCAAGGGATCTTAGTCAAAGGCCTCTCCTTTAGCAATTGGCCACTTTTCACTTGTGAATAGATTTAATTTCCAAGACTCTTGAGTGTTCCCTCGGAATTGACCTTCCCATGAAAAATATGCTTTGGAGATGTGAAATAAGCAACAGACAGCCTTAAATGAATTGCACTTCATCAAGCGGAAAAAAGCAATGTGCTTGAAACAGGCGCTACACGGGAAATGGAGGGCTGGGAGCTTTCCTGCGGACCAGGAGGGCGAGGTAAGGGGTGCCGTGCGACTGAGCTTGGTTCTTTCTACAGCACCTGGGTTCACCAGGGAAATGTTTATGAGCTGTATTATGTCTTCTGCTGTGCGATGTGACATTTCCTGCTCCGTCCCTACCTCGGTTCTGTCTGAGTCATTCTCCTTCCTCCTGGGGAGTGATGGCTTTGCCTGGGAAGGGAGGTAGGGAGGGGGCTCACCTTCTGCCTCCTCCCTCCTGGGCCCCATCTGCTGATGAATGAGCTCCAGAGGAGACAAGGGACAAAAGGGGGCGCAGGGATCCCAAGTCCCCCCACCAAAATGTGTCAGAGTAGAGATACCTCACCAGAAATGAGAGAACTGAGAGGAAGTCCCTGCCCACCCATTCCTCGCACAAGGGGTCTGAGGAAGGGGCTCTGTTCCTCTAGACGCTCACTTGCCAAGTGTTTGCCAAGGGCCAGCCTGTGCCAAGCTCTGAGCCAGGGCTGCAGATTTATGAAGCGCCAGAGCTCAGGAGACAAGATTGGGGCACCCACAGCATCGCTGCAATCTCTTGGAACATGGTTATGCACGGAGCATAACCATGGGTAGTGGGGGAGCCCCCATCCCTCAGCACCTCCTGCCTGGTGGCCAAGCCCTTCCTAGGTCGACAGCAGACCCCACCTTCTCCCCCTCTGAGCCCCAGGGCTGTTACTTCCTTAATGTGCCTGCTTTAATTATTATCTTCAAGGAGAGACTCAATCTGGAGATAAACACAAAAGACCTGCTGCTGATGGTGGAAGGCTCCTGTCTCCCTGGATGCAAATGGAGGGCCCACTGCAGCCCCTGATGATCGCCCAGGCATAACTTGGGCCTTAGAACCAGCAAACTCAGCTCTCTAAGTGCTGAAACAATGCAGCCCCATTGGAGACAAGAGTGTCCTCACACTGCTGCCAGGCCCCGCACGTAGATCTGGCAGCCCCCTGGCTGGGGAGTGGGCTGGGCTGGGCTTCTGCACTGTCCTGCCCATTGGCCCCCTGCTCTCTGCTCAGCTTTCCAGGCTCGGCTGCTGCTGTTGGTGAAATTGGGCGTTTTACGTGCTTTGATAAGGCATCCCGGGCAGAGCTCTGGGAAGCTTGGCCTGGCTATTCCTGCCTCTCTGGGGCAGCTCTGAGGAGCGGCTGGCTTTGAAGCACCATGAGAAGCCTGCTAGTAAGATTTAATAGGCATGACCAGAATCCCAATACCACATCCCAGCAGGCACTAAGCAGATCACAGGTGTGTCACGGGCCCAGGTCAGCCACAATCTTAAGGGCTGTCATAAACTAAAGGCGCAGGGCTTGCTCAGCTGTGGAGGCCTGGGGTTGGGTTCCAAGAAAATGCAGAGGCTGGCCGGGTGCGGTGGCTCATGCTTGTAATCCCAGCACTTTGGGAGGCCGAGGCGGGCAGATCACGAGGTCAGGAGATCGAGACCATCCGGGCTAACACGGTGAAACCCCGTCTCTACTAAAAATACACACACACACAAAAAAGTAGCTGGGCGTGGTGGCGGGTGCCTGTGGTCCCAGCTACTTGGGAGGCTGAGGCAGGAGAATGGTGTGAGCCTGGGAGGTGGAGGTTGCAATGAGCCAAGATCGCACCACTGCACTCTAGCCTGGGTGACAGAGTGAAACTCCGTCTCAAAAAAAAAAAAAAAAGAAAGAAAGAAAATGCAGAGGCTTTGGAAATAACAGTCACTCTCACAGTCTGGACATGAGGGAACAGAGCAGGCTGGGCCCTGACAGGGTTTCCTGAACCCAAAGGAGAGCAAGCCATGGCCAGGGTCCAAGCTCTGTCACCCAAGAGCTTGGCTTCTGCAACCACTGAGACCTGGCTTGCAATAGCAGCTCTTCCACCTCCTACCTGAAGGATCTTGGGGAAATGACTTGGCCTCTCTGAGACCCAGTTTCCACAGCTGTATGATGGCTTCTGGGTGCCTCCTATTTCAAATTTATTTTCTCCACGTGAAGACAGAGGTGAGTATAGGCTCTGGCTTCCCACGCGTACAGAGGATCCCAAGCCCAGGACTGGGTGTCAGGAGGCCTTGGCTGGGGCACCTGCCCTGCCCTGTGTCTGCTGTGTGGCACTGGACCTGAGGCACGGAACCCCTTGTCTGCTGTCCCCACAGGCTCTTGAAGGGAAAGGGCCTGGCTCGGGAAGGGAGGGGAATCGTGGCATCCTGGAGCTAGGGGAGACTTCAGGGCAATCCAGGCCCACCCTGCATCTCACAGGAGAGGAATCATCCAACACTGTCCCGTCCTTAGGTGGTCCTCAGCCCCAGGGGTAACTAAGGGGCTGGGCAGGTGGG